TCGCTCCGAATCCAACTCAGACCTCTGGTACCCTGGTTTAACCTCGGGGGGTCGTCACCATGGCTTCGTTGTGGCCCCTGAAGCCTGCGTTATCGTGCCTGTCCATTGCCTCTATGTCTGCGCTCCAGGCTCATTCTCCACCGGCTCAGTCTCTGTCCGTCCTCCCCACCCCATGGACTGACTACATTGCCCTGGACTGTGTTGGTTTTTCCATGGCCTCCTTCAGACCCCTCTCCCTGCCTCCTCAGTTAGACTATTTACGGCATGAGGAGACGCCTTTTCAGGAGGGGCGTACTGTAACGTATGCTGTGTTCAGTGTTCCCTGTGACCTAGTTTTGCTGTCTAGCTAATTAGTCATTATTTTCACCTGTCACTTCATCAATTATCTCATTAGTTCCTTTTGTTTGCTCTGTATATTTATACCCTGTGTTCTCTCTCATTTTCTGTTCGTTTTCGTCAATGTTCTGTTCGCTGTGTTTGTGTTAGTTTCCTGTTTGAACTCGAGAGTTTTGTCATTAAAGACATTTATAACTAATCTCATTCATCTTCGTGCATGTACACAACCAACTCGTGACACGTATTTGGCTATATGTTCTTTTAATGTATAGAGACATTTAAGCGTACAGCCTATTGTGTGTAATTATACACATTTGTTCAAAATAACCTGTAAAGGCAGATTGTTCACATGATAGGCAAACGTTTTGTATTGTTTACATGACGGATGCACGTTCTCAACTTTTTTTCCTTGTTGGGTTGCTTGTCTATTTTTCTTAACTGCATAAACTCACAATGCATAATGGTGGTTTGAATACTTGTTTTACATGATAAACTAAATCATTTTAGTCTACATGATGTAGTAGATTTAAAGTGGCTCTGGTTCGGGTTGCGGTCTTTGTCAATTTGGTCGGGTCGGGTACGGATTTAAATTAGTGCTGCTGTCGGATAACAGGACAGGTGTTCTGTTAACTAGTGCGGGTGCGGATTTACCAAACAGGACCCTTGCAGGAATCTGGCCAAAGCTATACCAATACTACGGTATACCATCACTGTATCTTAGCTACTGCTTCAAAATGATACTAAGGGAAATTTTGAAGACGACCAAAACATCTATTTTATGCGTTTGCAAATTTGTATGATCTCAATTGTGGTACAATCAGCTGATGCCCCAGGCCCCACTGAAGGTTAGGTTTAAGGGTGGATTGTCATGCTTTTTTTCTCATAAAAAGTATACGTTCACCAATTCGGCAAAATGTAAAATAGTCCATTTTAATACATTGCTAGCAGGAATTAGGATGTTGCTAGCATGTTGTAGCACATTGCTAGCATTAATTAACACATTGCTAGCATGATTTAGCATGTTGCTAACACGAATAATTTGATAATTATAATTACAGCATGTATACTATGCCTATGGTCAGTGAAAACAACAGTTATGCTAAGTTTGGCTACCTAGTAAATGCAGCAACAACAAAAAGGTTGGTTAATATTTTGACTATATATGTATGTATATCTCTAAGTAAAATTTACCTGAGGGTCTACCGATAATAAAAGTGTAGATGCATTTTTTAAGAGAAATAACTCAAAATAATAAAGTGAACCCTATTTACACAAATAATAGGCGATAAGGCTGATGATATATTGAGCATTCCCACTAACACACAAAGACAGAAAAAAATATATGTCAATTTCAAAGATGCTTTTAAAAATTATAATGCAAATGCAGTATGGCTACATTTAATAAAAGGTACCATGGGCCAGGTGAAAACGCCAAAGCATGTTTTATCACTGTAGAGTGATATTACTAGTACAGAGTTGTCCCAAAGGAGAACTGCCCACAAATGTGTAGCATGCATTAGGGATTCAGTGACTGCAGAGAGTCTACAGACAGACCCAAGGCTAAACCTCGGCAAAGCATTCACAGAAATAAGACATAGTAAAGAATCAAAAAGCAGCCATGGGCCAGTGGGGAAATAGAGGAAGCCGATATGCATGTGATGAGGTTCAAAGGCTGATGAAAAGGTGCACAGGCAAAATTGGGATATTTTTTCATTTGCTGGAAACAAAGGATGCAGATGACAGGGAAACCATTCAATGTGGACTGTAGAAAATAGCACAAACGAACACTTGGAGTGTGTTGAGGCCAAGAATGTATTTGAAGGCAGATGGTGTATTTATGGCATTTCCAGATGGGACTAACTGGACTGTGATAACCAGCCAAACTTTTACTTGAAGTCACGAAGACTAAGAATTCTGCCCATGACATCTTCTACGCTGGTTCTATGAATAAATTGTGTGAACCAAGCAACACACCAACACACAAAAAAAGAAGTAATCTGAGGGCACATCATATGAGTTAAACAGCATTTTATGTTAGTGATACCGAAGATTAATTACCCATCTAAAGGGCTCGACGGCTATGCCAAAGACTCATATAACCAAAAGTTATCAGACAATATAGAGCTAAACGAATAAGCCACTTTCTCTGTAATATCTGCCTTTGATGAAGGCAGGGAAAGAGGTGCTGAAAAGCATAGAGGACAGATGTTGAAAATACTTCAAGTTCGTTACTATGGAAGTCAACAGTGCTTTTCCAAATTCCTAATTGTTAACACATAATTGATTAGATTTAGAATGCTCTACGTAGTCAGCAACATAGTGCTGCACACAGGAGACTCAACTTGTAATTGAGTTCAGTTCACTAAATGCGAATATGTTCTACTTTATACCTCAAAATCTTAGGTGAAAGAATGAATGTGAACCATTTGTGAAAGCCTGATTTGAACATTGTTTTGAAATCAGTTTTTCCCTGCATTATTAGTACAGTACTCTATGTATAAGTTTTATAACTTGTGTAACATCACTGATATAGTTTAGCTTAATCCCAAAAAAAAATGAGCTCCACCGTTCTACACCATCTGAGCAAAATGAAGCGATTTAATTAAAGGCAGAGATCCAACACTGTCTGAGATAAATGAGGCAAGTTGGAGAATTAGTGGAAATCTCGCTAGCAATCAGGGCCATTGTGAGAAACCATGGCCATCTTTTATCACCTGTCAAAACACATAAAGCCAAATATTAATTTGCATCAAGGGCACAAATGTGGGATGAAACCAAACTGAAAAATCATGCAGTCTTGGACTGGCTACAATATTCGGATTTGGCCCAACTCTAAGACTCTCCAATGAGAGTCATTATAACATATTTGAAACTAAGACCTCAATCCAGTTCGTACAGTCACATGGTCAGTTCTGAAAAAGACCAGACATGACATCAGAAATTAGTCAAACCAAATCTTACCTATCAGACGTGACTTTATGAGGGCCATGTCTATTCTGGATGATAGCACTGTTCTGGCAGGCTAATTTTGACCCTAGCATGGCTCTAAGTTAGTCTCAACCATTAATATTAAAGCTTCTGCCTCTAGGCTGTCAAGAGAAATGACACTGAGAGAAGACACAACACTAATGGAGACATCACTCTTTGATGCCCTGCAACCTATCTCTGTCTGGCCTTTGATCAAATCCATATACTGCACAAACTACACCTAAAGTTATTTCCATAGCCCATCCAGTAAGAGGGAAAGGGTTGTTTAGTTGCACTCCTGGCTGATGTTGCAATGATGTTCACTTCGCTTGGATACATCCTTTTAAATGACTCTGCCAGTACAATTTTCTGATGTCGCTCCAAGCAAAACTCGTCTCGCTTGTTTGCCTACGAGAAAGTCTTCATCCAAAATAAGCACTGTGTGTGATCACAGAGGATTGGCTTATAAAACACTTTTTTTACATCAAACTCCAGTGAAATGGCTGCCATGGGGGAGTTTTCTTTTAACTAACTTTCCTCTGCTGCAGTGTTTTAAAAGACTTTATACTTTTGCCTTTAGATTTTTTTTCTACCAGTTTAATCAAACACAAGGAAATGAACATGACCATAAAGCTTGAGCACTGCTGTTCTCTCCTATTAGCCTTTCACCAATAATTGCGTTTCAGCTCATTACAAAACCTGCAGTTGTTCCTATCAATTCTTAATTTTATTGTTCTCTGAATCATGTTCACTGCACATTCTCATGGTCTAATAAATGCAATAATCTTTGATCAAATTTATTGAAATTGCATATACAATATACATGTTTAGGACTTATTCAATTTCAACAAATGATTACTTGTTGCAAAGTGAGTGGAGGCAATTAACCCAGGATAATTTTATAATTACATTTACTGTATGCTTTTGGATTATGCTTTTATTTAATTACACACACACACACACACACACACATCTATCTAGCATTTGTCTGTCTGTCTGTTAGTCTTTTCTTATGTATTTCTGCGTATCAGTAAGATCGCAATCACTGTTTAAATGGCAACTAGATAATTAGATTTTTTTGTGGAATTGTTCTATAAAACTAATGGTTTCTGATTGCAACAGTGACAATAAGTGCACCTGACTTTTTAAAGTAAAATATTGTTGAAGTAACAGCTCTCACGTGGATACAAGTTGAGTTTTTAAAGTGCGTCAATAGGAGGAATGAGTATTTGGCTTGTCATGAACTCCACAAGTTGCAGAAATCAATGTTACCCAGCATGATTTGATAATGTTACAAAGAGCATATTGAGCTTCATGTGAAAAAGAAAATGTGACATTTTAGTGCAAAGCAGTTCAAACACTCGGTATCACAAAATGTATCTTATTATTAACAAATACATAGGCCTAGTCATAACTTCTCTTTGTTTTACATTTCCTGGAAATCCTGAAACGTTCTGTTTACTACCGTGTAAAAAACGTATTTTAAATCCCATTTTTAATCTTGTCTCGGAGTTTTTAATGTTGTCTCTTTTAATGTTTTAGACCCCACAGTATACTATACAATACAAATCGAATTAGTTTTGCTGATATAATAAGCTGAAGTTCGTAGCCTATTGAGTTCCACATAAACTTCAAGTTGACTTTACTGTAGCCTATATCTTTCTGATGGCTCGAGACGAAAGCGTGAAATGTCTTACCTGTGCGGCCATAAATGACAGATCCATGATGATTTGCTTATCAGAAGAATAACTAAAGCTTCAGGAAGGTCAGGTAAGCTCGCTTTCTGCGTCGTCTTTGTCCACGGAGGTAACCTATTTACTTCCAAATAACATCGTCGAGGTACAGCTTCCAGGTACATGAATCCTGAACATCTGAAGTGCGTCTGCGATCATTTTAGAGACGGATCAACAGCGAGACGAGGATGAGACAGAGCAGAGGTGAAGAAACGAGAGAGAGAGAGAGAGAGAGAGAGAGAGAGAGAGAGAGAGAGAGAGAGAGAGAGAGAGAGAGAGAGCCTTATTCGTATTCATTTTTTTGTGACGCCAAGCGAACGTCTCGAAAATATTTTAGACAAAGCTTTTGTAGATGCGCCACATGTATGAGCTCGAAATATTTCAGAAAAGCTCCTTCAAAGCCAATTATGTTCGATTTATCGTCACCAAAAATATGACTATGATTTATTTCTACAGCCTTAAATGGTAGTCAACCAAAAACGTTAATTTTCCTTATGGATTTTCTAAATAAATTAGCTAGTCAAATCTATTTAACGGAAAACATATTTTGATAAAGGTAAACATAAGCCTTTCTGTTCATAATGGTTTGCTCAGGCACGAGGCAAGACATGAATGTGAAACCAAATGCAGTAAAATCGTTTTATAATTAATACAGCAGTCAGAACGTGTCAAATATTTAATGTATCCGGATCCATTATTGTTATGACTAGGTTTATAATAAAAATATAATATTTTTTCAAATGTAAAATGTTGCAAATAATCAGCAAGATGTGAGATTGGAGACAAACTGTTGCTATTAATGACAACCAATGTTGCCACCTTCTAACTTGTTGCCATCTTTCTAACTAATGGTAAATAAAAGCAATATGGGTTCAAAATAGGGTAATTTTAAAAATGAATCCTGTTGGAATGCCATATTGGCATATGCCAAATTGGAATGCCAAATTGGCTCTCTACCTGGTTCAAGATTATAGTCCCAAACACGTTTGAGGAGCTGGTAGTCAGAACTTGTTGAACATACAATCTGTTAATGGAAGATTATTGAAACGCCAAACTCTCTCTGTTTTGTGCATGGCAATAATCTGAATTGCAAATGCAAGAGGTAATTGTCATTCTAGTCTGTGAGCACGAATATGCCACCCTCTTGGCAGCTTAATGGTGTTTAGAGGACAGAATCTCTGTACTCTCGGTGAACTTTCGCACATTTGACCACAACATTCAAGATGTACCTAGCATGCCTTACGACAATGCATTGATGATGAACAAACAAACATTAGATGAGCTGCATTGTGAAAAAAGAAGTGTTCTGCATTGCACTGAATGTGCACTTGTAGTGTACTTCAAATCTTAAAAGTATAATATAATATAAATATAATATTAATGAAATAAAGGGCCACTTAATTGTACGAGGTACTTCACCGCTGGCAAAATGGGCTTTCATTAAAACTTGGCTGCCTAATGCTCTGTTCCAGGCAGCTTGAAATTTTTCCCACCTTTTCTTGGAAATGACATCTGGAATGCCACTCAAAGTCAGACATTCGACCTGTGAACTCAGGGTACATCGATCAACCTCAGCGAGACACGTCATTTGACCCCACTTCCAAAATGTCGGCAAGCTTCCAAAATGCTTCCGACGAGCATAAATGTAAAAACCAAAATTTGACATTAAGTTTATGTAAAAATACCTTAGTTTTTGCTTTTCGTCAGCTGATTTCAAAAGCGATTTTATGTTGTTTTTATTCAGTTTTTGCAATAATTGACACAAAAACAATGGTCAACATGTGAACATGACATCTGATTGCCTGGAACTCACTGGTCTGAAGTGGGACATTTCATTTGGGATATTCCCACATCCAACCTCATTAGTCATTAGTCTTCCTTTTTGCAAAAGAAAACTTCAACACCCATGATGCACTGGGCATGTTGCCATCCAAGGCCCTGCCTGTCAACAGTCTGCTATACACTTACCAGGGTCAAATATTGCCTTGCTTTAGTAGGAAACACTTCTTAAACTTTTTGTCATAATGATTTCGACTTGCATTGGATTGAACAAACGTTTGTAACGACACGCCACAGTAAACGTTTGGCGGGAGTGAGTTTTGGTTTCCAGTGAAGGATCCAGCGTGTTGTAGGCTGTGGCTAAAGGCAAAAGAATGTAAATACTGAGAGAATTCCACGACAGAAAATCTGAAAAACATCCCTGTTTGTAGTCAACATTTCAAACCGGATGACCACGAAAATAGGTCACCTTTTGCATCACCCGGCAGCCTTTTGCTGACAAATAGAAGTGAATTTCTCGGTCCAGGTAACACAAAGAAAGAGTAAAAACATTGTCCATTTACATATACTACAGACACTGTAGCAATACAAAGCGACTTACACTTTAAAGAGAGTACTTTTTCATGACTTTTTTAACACACATAAGTAAAAAGTGCACTGTGTAATAACATTTATTTTTAAGCACTTTTTAAGTACATTTTAAATCATTATTTGAATAATCTTTTGTAGTGCTTTAAAGAACTTGTGTTGATTAACATACTCAAAAAAAAATATATATATATATATAAATACATGACGTATATCAATAATAGACAAAATCTCCCCTTTGTATTTAAACCGTGAATTCTGTCTGTTCCTTGTCCTGTATAATTTATGTTGATGTGGTGTTTGTATTATCCTATGTTCCTGAGTTTGTATCTCCAGTGATCTATTTTAAGGAATTATTCTAGTAATATTCTGTTTGTGCGTGTTCCTTACCACACCAGTCGTGACATTGTCCAGACATTGAATGTGTAATAGAACTTGAGCTGATACAGCTGAGCTGAGAGTTTGGAGGCAGAGGGACGCCCACAGCTGTCCTCAGAATAACAGGTCACAGCGCATCAATTATTAATGTAGAATCTGGAAATCCCTTCAGCCATTGATAAAGGTTAGGGCATATTTTCTGGTTAAATGTTTGTCTCATAGCAACAGGCCTCTCTGAATGAAGTCTTTGGAGACTTTTTTGCTCCTAATGTCATCTGAGCGGGAGGGTATAGATCTAATGTCATTGCAGGCCTGGAAAGTGAACAAGTTTATATTAATTATGTCATATTATATAGATGATTCACCCTCCAGGCATATGTTGGTGTGATTGGGGTGTAGGTCATATACAGTAGTTTTTGATATGCATGAAAGCACAATGAAATGAGTGCTTAGACAAATACAAAATTATGTTAAACAGAGGCCTGAGGCTATAGCTATTTTTTGCGCTATATTTCTAATACACTTTATATACAGATGCATATAAATGTGATAGTTCTTTATGCACAGACTATCATTCTGCTTTATTTTTCATTTTAAACATGAGATTTACTTTTCAATTACCCACGGCCCTATTTTGTAAAGTGTAATCCAGACAGTTGATAAAACATATTCACAGCCCATATAACAAAAGCCATTATGATGCTAAGCAGATGATGCATAATTGGGACGATGAGCTCTTGTCCCCTCTAAACTCTTGAATATATCTCATCCCACTGGTTTTTATAAATGCTGTGTCTCCATTACTCACTTTGAAACTGTCTGAACCTTGTTAATCAGTTACTTTACTATTTTTATGGAACAATTAAAAACATTACTTTGCATATGTTTCTCATAATGTGACAATAAATCTAGCAAATGCAGCTTTGATTCTCATAATGAGACATTAATCCCTCAGATGCACATTGTTTCTCGTAATTTGACTTTAAGTCTCGCAAATTCGTCTTTGCTTCTCGCAATGTGACTTAATTTCTCACAAATGTCATATTATTTCTTGTAATTTGACTTTAAATCTCGTAAATTCGGTTTTGTTTCTCATAGGCCTGATGTAACATTAAATCTCGCAAATGCAACTGTTTCTGGTAATGTGATTTTATATCTCGGAAATGTAAATTTGTGTCTTGTAATGTGACCTTGAATCTCACAAATGCGACTTTGTTTCTTGTAATTTGACTTTAAATCTCACGAATGCAACTTTTCTAGTAACATGACCTCACAATTGCGTAATCTCGTTGCGTAAAGTCATAAGTTCACTTCATAGCATATCTCAGAAATCTAACTTTGCCTTTCTTAATGTGGTTTTAAATCACATTTGTTTCTCGTGGGACTTTAAATTTTGCAAAAGCAACTTTGTTTCTCTCAATTTGATTTTATATCTCGGAAATGTAACTTTGTTTCTTGTAATGTTTCTTGTAATGTGACTTTTTTATTGAACTTTTCTAGCAATGTGATCTCATAATTAAACCTTTATGTGACTTTTGCAATGGTTATGGTCTGTTTTGTCCTGTTATAGTCCTGATTGATCCTGCTTGCCTGATTTTCTAGATAGTTTCCTCATTTGTCACATAAACCTAAGTTCTACCAGAAAGACTCGGGAGAATAAATACTGTAACAATAAATACATTTATTGATAGCCCAGCAAGCAATAAAGTTCTTTGGCGTAGGCCCCGTCCATAGCTCGCAATCCGAGGGTCCGGACTCTGCATTTCCTGCCTGAAGACGAAGGCAGGGGCGCAGCCGACCCCCTGTGAGGTATAGGAAGGGACCATCCTGGTGGTGGTGGTGGGGAGGATGGAGGGGAAGGGACCATCCTGGTGGTGGTGGGGAGGATGGAGGTGAATGAAAGCGTCAGCATCTGCGAACTCAAACATGTGTAAGTACTGGTCTTTTATACCGCAAGTATTAGACACGATTGGATAGATGAGAAGGTAATAAGTGACGTAGCAATTGAGTCTTCCTGGCAGAACTTAACGCTAAAGCTTCCATTTCTACCAGAAAGACTCGGGAGAATAAATACTGTAACAATAAATACATTTATTGATAGCCCAGCAAGCAATAAAGTTCTTTGGCGTAGGCCCCATCCATAGCTCGCAATCCGAGGGTCCGGACTCTGCATTTCCTGCCTGAAGACGAAGGCAGGGGCGCAGCCGACCCCCAAAAATAGGTGGAAGATAATTCCACCAGGACGGAGCCCACCCCCAAAGAACGGTAAAGAAAAGTATACCCACCAGTCGTGTATCCTGTAGAGCCTAAAATAGAAAGAAAAGGGAGTTAATAATGGCATGAACATGAAATGTGGAAAGCCTCGTAGCCAATAACTAATTAGTGACAGACGACTTCATAGTGAGCCTGAAGGTACTATGCGAAGACGTGAATAAAGCATTTATGCATTAATGTTCTGCTGCTGAAT